GTTGGTCGGTATCCACTCAGTCGAGCTGCTGCTATTAGTGGTCGGAGCACTGACAGTGCCAATGCATTCTCTCCTCATTTTTGTATGGAAAGAAACGCGAGTTATGGCAATTACAAGATGACGGTACGTGTCTAGTCATCATCCAGCAACGGTGTTATTGTATGCGAGCAAATTCGTACGTCGGTAACAGTTGCAATGTATCGCCGACCGTCTCGACTGAGTGCGTTTATGCGCTACCAGCAGATATCGGCGGCGACATTCTCAAGACGTGCAGTTAAATGTGAATTGTGGGGATTCACCATTCTGGTGGGGGAGAGTGTATCGGTTTAACACGTACCCTTGTATGAAAGGGTGGGTCACACAAGATGGTGTGCCCATACAAAGGTGTGGATTACACAAATCTGTGTATCACATTGTGATGTGGCTACACCGTACCAAGAACGTGGCGGGACTGCCAATAGTAATGCGTATTAATTAGGTTCTACTATTTAATTAGGCAAACCTAAGGTCTTAAATAAAGGCGGCTCTGTCGCAAATAAATCAATAAAATACTGTTTCAATTTTGAACGGAAGAGCGTCTTTGCCTTGGTTAAGGTTTTTAACTGCTTTTGGAGGTAGCGGATTGCGATTCGCTATATCCGTATTGGTTCTGGTATAAAACGTATGGTCGGAATTCTTAGCTAAGCTTCCTCCAAGCAAAGAGATACGGCAGCGTCGCTGCAATGGCGGCTTATCACATCGTTTTACATTGGGGTCATAAGCAACTTAAAATTTTAACATGCCCCCAGAGCCAAGTAATACGCCAATGTCAAAAGCACATACCAAGATAACAGTGTAATGTCATTACTCCTTTCTATCGTGCCTAAAAATACATTTTGGCGAGAATTGCCAACATTAAGTGTCAAAAAGGTAGCAATCTGCACATGCTTATAACAATCAAATAGCAGACAACAAACGCTTAATCCTTTAATGTATTTCCTGTCGAACCGCATATCTTGTTTGATGGACTTGATATCATCTTCTGGTATCCAATCGACTGCTCGTGAGAATCAGTCACTACAAAATATAATCCGATTGGAATGCACTGTTGGTGGCTGGTAGCCGGAAATAAGAACTCGAACCAAACGCGAAAAAGAGGTGTTCGAGGGTTCCAGCATACGCTATTGATTTTTTCATAAATCTCTTTAAAAGCTTGTCGAAGATTTCGGTTGCAAGAGAAAAAATGGCCCCCACCGTTGTAAGAAACCTATATCTATATCAGTTCTCGCTCTTTTGCATAGGCTGAGTTTTACTTGCTAATGAGTACATTTTTGTCAGATTTATGGTACACCTGTTGGTCGATCTACACAAAATAAACGGCTTCTTGCACAGTGTTATCGGCACCAAATCTTTGGCAAAATATTACAATATTTTATCCTAATTTATGGGTATACGTTGAGATAAAGTAGAATACGCGGTGGTGAATGCGCTTTCGTGTCACACACATCTGAAAAGCCGAATGTCACAATGGTGAAGTCAGGCATCCTTAAGCCAAATCGATTAATGTGTGGTTGTATGTGGCGTATTCTTTATTGTTATGCGCGTTTTAAAGCAGAAAGTTGCCTGAATCGGCTGTCGCTACATCGAAGCGAGTTGCTTGCGCGGTTCACCGTCGCTTCATGTTCAAAATTTCAATTAGTGTGTTACAATACAATCCCCCACTCAACACACAGCGCTTAGTAGCACCACATGATGGTTAGCTCAAATCTGACGTGACCCTCGATTCCACCCCAAGAGCTCATATTGGTAGAAAACAGACGTTCGACTAAATGAGCGCTATTTTTACTAGTGATATGTCGATTACATTTGAGGATGCGATTATGTGCACAAATGTAAGACATACCAGTCAGTAAGCATCCTGCCGGAGCCGGCACGATGCTGGCTGTCCATCAGCATGAGTTCTACTTTGGCCATCGAAATGACAAATTTAGTATTTTAGGTATTGAGAGAGCTGAAATTTTACGTGACCACTGCTTTTCTAATCGCAAGACCGACTGAGCAAGCTGGCTCATCTTGCTGCTGTTACTGTAAAAATACTCGGTCACGTTGTATCTAGTCGTTTTCGCAACCACTAACTGGCGGCAATTATCGTTTTGAGCCCAGGTTCATACTTCCAGTAAAGTTTCGGCAAACATTGTCTGGGGTGCTCGGCACCACATTGTACCTTTTGTGCTATGGATCATCCCGGCTGTCAGAACGCACAAACTACGTGGTGGATGATTTACTCCGGAGCACTTGTGCGAAGAGACCGAAACGCTAGGGTAGAATATCACTAGCTGTTGGGTCTGGGATAAAAAAGCCATACTCGCGTATACAAGATTTCAGCAATTTCATTACCGGAAATATAAATTCCCGTGTCTTCCGAGACTGGCATCGATCTTGATGCGGGAAGGGTACGGTTGTAATACTAGCCCGGCATAACCTCTTGGAATGATCAACGACTTCATTGAAGTAATGAAAAGATGCGGAGCAATTTAGCTTGAGGACAAGAATGACAGTGGCAACACGCTGTTGCCGAAGGCAGACAAATTCATGATGGTGATATTACCCTATTCACGCTATTAGCAGCGTCACTTGTCTGCAATGATCGCTTGCGTCCTCAATTGACGAATCTCTCACGATGGTAGCTCGAAGGAAATTGCATATTCCAAACAATTTTAAACATATTATTCTTTATGTGGGCCTCCAGAAGCCGCACCAAGGTTCTAATCATATAGGCCTATCAAATGTGATGCGCTCAATTGAAGACTAATAAATGTATTGACTCAGCTGGAATTCAGTTTTGAGTCGCTTAGAGTACCTTTAATCAGTCGGTCCAATTGTGCAGCTTTGCAAGCGCGTAAAATTGTTCCTGCCATCTTTCGATGCATTATGACATTTTTGAAAAGACGACGTGGCATCACAACCGAAAGGATCCACGTATACCACTTAGAGAATATTCTTCCTCCTCAGGCTTTGCGCGATGAGCAAATGAATTCAGACAGCTGAGTGAAGTAGATTATACACAGGCGAGCTCGTCAATAGTGCGATTAAATGCTTGAAGAATTGGAATTAATACCCTCACTTCGAGAGCACATTAGGGTTAAAAAATTCGGTTCGGAAAGACTGCAATGGCGCTGTTGACGCTCATGACCTGACACACCGTCTGTGTTGAACTCCGATAGCAGGCTAATGGGAATGAGAAGAGCTCACATGTGAAGAAAGATATATAGATAGCCTCAACATGTTCATCGCAACTAGTTTGACGTCTGCTTAGCGGATAGTAGTGAAATAGATACTCACAGCTTGAATCGAGATAATCATACTTTGCTTCTTTTGCCAAAGCAAGGTATCATGGGTCCAATTTTCATAAAAAAATATTTTTTTCCGCTGGTGCTTTTGCCGTAAGAAGAATTTTTAAGAGAATTGGCGACATTTCGGGTCTGGGAGCCATATTTCAGTCGACGTTTCGCTTTGAATGAGTGAAAGAACCACGCGCATAAGCATAAAGTGTCCAAAAAAATATTATTATCGGGGATAATAGTGAGGTGTACAGCTTGCTTGAGAACTACACAATTATGTACAAGCGAAAAGCATTTTTTAGCAGTTGTGCAGCATACATTTCTACTCGATTATCCAAAACACACGTATACTCTGCGCGGTTTTGTTAGCACAAAGGCTCTCAGTATTAGTTCTGAAGAGAACGATGAGACTCCGAAGCATAGAGATCACCACAAATTTGGGGAGGTTCCGGTAACAGAAATTACTTGGCCCTACAGCTCTCGACTAAAGCGCGTTTGAGTCAATGCGTGCACTCGTATAGGAGAACATCTCAACCGACCAACCCACTCACAAGGTATAACTCACAGTGCATCGCATACAATGACTGCATCTCTCTGGCCGTACCAGGTCATTTGCTCCACAAAGAAATATTAGAAAGGAAAGTCAATGCAATGAGTGCTCGTAAGTATTGACACTTGTGACTGTACAGCTATGAAGTAGTCAGTCCGGCGTATCAAGAGCAATGGGCGCGCAGAAGGCAAAGTTGGTCGCCAAAGGTTTAGTTGGTTGGACTGTTTTTACTATGTGCGCAATGTATTAGTATAAGACCAAAAGACTGCGCGCAGTAAGGTTTTGATATCGAATGAAAAAGGTGTAGCGTGGTTTGTATTCAAATGTAATAACACAATGAGAGCGAAATATTTTAGTACCATGGAAACGTACTGCGATCGAGTATCCTCAGCACGGATGATGGTCGAATAGTGTAGTGCGTGGGCTGCCAGGTTCACGCTTCTTTTACTTCACCATGAAAGATTGGTCGCTTGCGAATTCCTTTCCAACTATCGTCACACCATTGTCACAAATTTAAGATCTACGAGCCTTGGTTATGTCAGCATTAACACCATACATAGCTTAACTTCTTTTTTTAAATAAGTTTCACATTCCACGAGGTCAGCTCGCCATGTGTCTTGTCTGAAATCTTTTGGAGAAAGGGTTATCGATGATGTGTATAATCATACAACATAGTGTGTCACTTATTACATCAAGCATTTATGAGATGAATAAAGAAGTAACTTCAAATAAAACTCGATCTTTTATAGATTTTCAAGCTTAAAAGGTGTTATCACACAACACTTTAATTCGACCAAAGAACTAATAAGGTCCTTAGATATAGCTGCACTCACATCATATGTATCATTTTTTGTCACGTGAGATGAGGTGGTCGGCAAAGTGCGGCAGAGTTGACGTGCACCTCGTGTAGAGGATGTTTTGCCACTCGGAGTCTGCCCTAAGCACTAAGGATTCATTCGCCGGGTACACCAGACCAGAAGACTCCCACGAGAGTAATTAATGAAATATTGAACTGGTTTAAATTCGTATTTAGTATACCTGATTTCCTATTTATCCTATAAGAACTGTGAAATACATAGCACCAACGTTTCTACTTAGCCTTACTTGGTTAATAGTAAACTGAATGGTTATAGCATATTAATGTATACTTTGTTATTGTGGGGTATTTTGTTAAATTATGCTAATACAA